CCCCTTATCATGCATTTTCTCAAAACATCTGACACGACCTGCACTTAAATGCAGTTTTTCCTACAGGAATTACTGGGCAATTGTTAAGTTGAGGCAGTTGTGTGACACTACACTTAACATCAGTGGATTTAGCATAGACTGGGAAATTTAATCTTGACCCAATAGATCTGGGTGGCTTCTTAATGCTAATTGCTGACTGAGCCATTGGGACAGCTTACTTGGTTTCCTGAAGGAAACCAAATGTCAAAAATGTGTAAACTGTTTTACAAAGCAAAATATGTTTGATAGAAATATTAGAAAAGTGCAAGCTCTGCAAAAGATTAAGAAGTCACATTTTGTCATGACCTGAGGACATTCGAAAGTGTGTTAGTGTGTTACATTAGTTTTGAAATGTAGTCGCTGTTGCAATTTAGGAAACATGACAGCCAATTTGTAAATCAAACTCCCACAAATGTAATTTATCAGATTATCTGTCTAGAATGTTGTCTGAAAAGAAGATGGTTAAGAGTGGACATCATGTAAGATATTTGAAGTATTATGATTATCTCGGTAAGTTTAGCTCAAAATAATAAAAGATAGAGTCAGAGAGATGTACAGCATGGAAATGGACCCTTCGGTCCAACTCGAACATGCTGACCGGATTTTCTAAATAAATCTAGTCCCATTTGCCAGCGTTTGGCCCATATCCCTGTAAACCCTTTCTATTCATATACCTTTTAAATGTTGTGATTGTACCTGCCTCCACCACTTCCTCTGGCAGCTCATTTCATCCATGAACCACCCTTTGCATGAAAAAGTTAGCCCTTAGGTCCGTTTTAAATCTTTCCCCTCTCACCTTAAACCTAGCCCTCTAGTTTTGGACTCTCCCACTCTGGGGAAAAGACTTTGTCTATTTACCCCATCCATGCCCCTCATGTTCACTCCTATGTTCACATCCAAATCATTTATATAAATGACCCAGCACCAATCACTGTGGCACATCGCTGGTCACAGGCCTCCAGTCTGAAAAACAGCCCTCCACCACCACCCTCTGTCTTCTACCTTCGAGCCAAATGGCTGTTTCTCCCTGTATTCCATGTGATCTAACCTTGCTAACCAGTCTACCTTGAGGAATCTTGTCAAATGTCTTACTGAAGTCCATCTAGATCACGTCCATCGCTCTGCCATCATCAATCCTCTTTTTGGTACTTCTTCGGAAAACTCAATCAAGGTAATGAGACATAATTTCCCACACACCAAAGTTATGTTGACTATCCCTAAATAGTCCTTGCCTTTCCAAATACATGTCAACCCAGTCCTCAGGATTCCTTCCAACAATTTGCCCACCATCGTTGTCAGGCTCAAACAAAAGTGTTGAGAAGAATTTCTTTAACCAGTGATAAATAAACACAAGTCTTGCTTTTATTTCACTTCCCTTGAAGGGTCTGTACAAATACTTAGATTTTATTTCCAATATTCTTATATATTGTTTATTCCCCACAGAACTTCAATTTTCAGAAGCTACAAGCTGTAATTAATGAACATAATGTGAATAATGGAGGCTAGATTGACTATGTAAAATATACTACATGATTGGGCTACTTGGCCAAGTAGCATTTTTAAAAATGTTTATTTGAAAGCGGTATCCCAATTTGACCTAGTCCCATTTGCCAGCATTTGGTCCATATCCCTCTAAAACCCTTCCTATTCATATATCCATCCAGATGCCTTTTAAATGTTGCAATGGTACCAGTCTCCACCACTTCCTCTGGCAGCTTGTTCCATACACGCACCACCCTCTGCATGAAACAGTTACCCCTCAGGTCCTTTTTAAATCTTTCCCCTCACACCTTAAACCTCTTCCCTCCAGTTTTGGATTTCCCCACCCTAGGAAAAAGCCCTTGGCTATTAACCCTATCCATGCCCCTCATGATTTTATAAACCTCTACTTGTTTATATATTTTTTAAATGAGTTGTTTCTCAGTTACAAAGTATTAGCAGGATTTTTATTGTTGAGTACATTATGGATTTTTGGGAGAAGAACTGAGCCTTGAGAAAATTTGATAGTCTGAATTAACTGTAAGGTATTCTGAAAAGCCGTCCATGTCACGGCCTCTCTAGGAAACGGAGATTGTCCTTATGGTGGATTAGATTAGAACAAGGATGAAAACTCTGGATATCTATCAAGCTAGCTTCTTCAAGAGTATGTATATTTGTTTCATCATCGATGTGACCTCTTCCCTCTCAGCTAACATCTGATCCTTCTCTGATGTAAAGAATCTCTCCATGGAAAAGGAAAAATTGAGGAGTTATATATAATCTTCAAAATCCCTTTCAATCCAACAGTCAATCCAATATCTTTTAATTGTGTTAATTGAAATCAGATCAAGTGCATTCTCTTGGAATATGTTCTGAAAAAGAATACCAGATAATGTCACATTTTTGGATTGGATGATCGTTTGCTGAGATGATGGCTGAGTGCAGTATTTCAGAACTGCCTCCGGCACCCAGAGATGCAATTTGCCTCCCAGTTGTCTCCAATATTTGCTGATCCTGTATACTGTAGAACGGGAGTAGGCCATTCAACCCCTCAAACTTGTCCTGTCAGTTAATTGGTGTATCGTTGATATGTATTTCTCAGATTTGTGTTGCAGTCTTGCTTAGTCACATTTTAAAATTGTTTTTCATAGAATCCGGACAGAGCCCGTTTGACCCATTGAATCCACACTAACCCTCCAAAGAGATCCCGCCCAGACCCTGAACCTGGCCCTTCCACCCTATCCGTGTTTTGGTGTAAAACTTCCAGTACCTTGTGTGGTTAATGTGTGATGACCTTTATATCCAAGGATGAGCAATTATTAATATAAACTAGAGGTAAATTGAATAATAATCTACTTTTAAAGTAATTGTAAAAGCTGTTACGGATCAGACCAAACCCCCTCAAAATATATTAAGAATATAGCCTAGACCCTAACTTTTTCTTATTCTAAAGGCAAGTGCCAGGCGTTGCTTTTTGGATGCAATTCAATTGGTCAAACTGCTAGTCTTGAAGCAAAACACACTTTATTCGTACGCTGTAGATAAATTGCAACAAAACAAAGAAGAAATTGGAATAACTTAAACTTATTGGAAAACTTAACAGAATAATAGATTATTTAGTTACTGAACAGTAACTGTTCCAATTTAGTAACGTCCCATAAATACACCCTTAGCAAAAACAAATTTTAGTAATATAGATTGCCTCACATGCAAATCTGCACTCCAGGAGGAAAAACTTCAAGAGAAGTGTGTGTGTGAGAGAGAGAGAGAGCGAGAGAAAGAGATATACTGCAGCTTCCAAACGCAGCTTCAAGAAAAAAAACTAAAACTAAAAATCCTGTTTTTTTGGGAGCTTGGCTCTGTCCATTCAGGCTGCTTCTATTGTTCCAACTTTTTTAAAAAAAAAACCCAAGGCCTCTCAAACTGTTTTCTTTCTTGGAACTGAGTAGACTGATCAGAACCTCTGTCTCAACCTCAGACAAAATACACCTCTTAAAGCCATGGTATTATCTCAAAGGCTTCCCATGGTTTTCATTGCACTTCTTCTATAATTAAGATTTTAAAAACTAACTGCATGGCAATTTGAACTTTGAATGCATGCTGGAGAATAGTACTGATATCTGTTGCTACCTAGCCCAGGCGGGCTCTTGACAAGTGATCAACATCCATTTACATTACTGTGATATCTTCAACATACTAACATGAACACTGCAAAAGTTTATGGCTAGTTACTTATAGTATCAAATTTATTTCAGAGTGATTATGACATAGGTATGACTTTGGAGCAAACCCAGCAATATAATCCCCACTACTGTCCCCAAATTTTCCTGATTTTAACTGCACCCTCAATATTGACGAGCCATCAAATAAAAACTGAAAAAAACCGACTCATCTGCAGGTGCTATAAATCAAGAACAAAAACAGAAGTTGTTGGAAAAGCTCAGCAGGTCTGACCGCACTTCTGAGGAAGGGTCACTGGATCCGAAACGTTAACTCTGATTTTTTCTTCACAGATGCTGCCAGACCTGCTGAGTTTTGCCAGCAACTTCTGTCAATGAGCAATCACCCATTGACTGTGGGTTTTGACTGTAAATGATTGTATTTGGTCTTGCTGAAAGGAGATTTGCAGGAGTTTGAGCTGGAAAGGGATTACCACTGCAGAAACAAATCTGTTGAGATTGTTGGGGTACTCGGTAATCTCAAATGATTGAAACTGCCCGGGAATATTTCTGTAAAGCAATATGCTTTTTAACATGGCTGTGGTGCCCCATTATAGTTCCATCAACTCAAAATTTCAGACCAGTAAAAGCCCATAACTTTGAGGTTGTGCTTTGGAGGTCTGCACTTCCTGTCTGTGATCTGTAACATCATAAACATGCCATATCTGTTACACAGAAGAACTTGAGTACATTTGCTTTAAGACCCAATATTACTGTATTGTTGATCATCAAGAGACCAACAAGGCAAAGGATGTTGGTACTCGAGGTTTGAAGATTTTGGTTTGAGGTTTTCTGTTTTTCCTGGAAGATCAGCTGTAGTGCAGTCAGATACTGAACAATATTCTTTCAGCTGTCTTCCTATAAAATATCGTCGTACCAGCAGTGTGACCTAGAATTGCCCTCAGAAATTCCTCCTCTGGTGCTATGGCATTTTTCCCATCCTCCGTACCAATTATTACTGCACCGTAGGCATCCCTTGCTTGAATTATGCTGCTGCAACTCAGCTCAGCAAGAAGCATTACAGCCAATTGATCAAGAATGCTTCAGTTTGTCAGTCTGGATCGGGACCTATGTCCCAAAGGAGAACGGCAAGTGTCTTGCACACTGTCACTTCATTTTTGTACTAATTTATGCTCATGAAGTGCCTACTAGATTCAATTCACTGTGTAATTTAGTTTAACATATATTTTGATTAGGTCTGGTACAATGTAAAACCGGCCTGCTGTTAAAATGTTAATAATGTTTGTCATAATTCTATTCTAGATGGAGCAAATAAAAAGGGCAAATAAACTCTTCACAAGTGATTGCATATTCCTAAGAAAAACCCTTATTATTCCAGTCATATCTGACAAAGGGTTACTATTTAATGGACTGAACTCATTGGAATCTCCTGAGAACGAATCCAGGGAATCATTCACTTTGTGTGAAGAAAGCTCTACATCTCCGAGTCCAGAGGATATTGAAAATAGACCAATTCACCCTGAGGAACTGTCTGCCAAAGACTTCTTGCAGAGACTGGATTTGCAGATTAAACTGTCAACGCAAGCAGCTGCTAAGACAATACAGGAGGATGATAATGGGTAATTATATTCTTAAATAACAGCACAGTTTATATGAGCAAATAGACTTGCAGATAATATTTTTATTGTCATTTTTATGATTATGGTGCATCACATAAACCTGTTGGTGTGGGATGATATGTGAGCTCTGCCTGAAGCTAGTCTTTGGCTTATTGTCTGCTGATGCTTCATCCTGTGCTGTTTTCTTGGCAGCTTTTATCATTGGTGGTTTACCATGGTCTTCTGCATTCATGCAGAATGTAGAGGCTGGTCCCAAGTCTACTTCAGATGGAACAAGAAACACACCCCAATTTTGGTGTTATTCTGAAGCACACACTAACCATCTATCCGATACAGCAATTCCGACCACAATCAATTTATAGATATTAGAAATAAACAATAATATATTTGACAAAAATCCAATTCCCCTTACTGAAGGAGGGATGTATTTATATTGGAGGCAGTTCAGAGGAGGTTCACTAGGTTGATACTAGAGCTGAGGGATTTGGCGTGAGAAGAGATTGAATAGTTTAGGCCTATACTCTCTGGAGTTTAGAATAGTGAGAGGAGATCTAATTGAGGTATATAGAGAATCATAGAGTCCTACAGCACGGAGACAGGCCCTTCAGCCCAAACTGGCCATGCTGACCAAAATGTCCATCCACACTAATGCTTCCCTGCCCTAGACCCATGTGCTTCTAAACCTTTACTGTCCGTGTATTCGTCCAAGTGCGTTTTAATTGTTGTTAATGTACCCTCGCCTCAACCACATCTGCTGTCAGCTCGTTCCATATGCATACCACCCTCTGTGTTTTTAAAAAAAAAAAAAAAAAAGTTGCCCCTCTGGTTCTCATTTATTCTTTCCCCTCTTACCTTAAGCTGATGCCCTCTAGTACTCGATTCCCCAACCCTGGGAGAAAGACTGAGTGCATTCACCCTATCTATGCCTCTCACGATCTTATACGCTTCTATAAGTTCCCCCCTCAGTCTCCTACGTGCTAAAGAAAAAAGTCCTAGATTGCCAACCTCTCCCTATAACTCAGTCCTTTGAGTCCTGGCAACATCCTTGTAAATTTATTCTGCATTCTTTCCAGTTTAACAATGTCCTTCCTAGAGCAAGGTGACCAAAACTGAACACAATACTCCAAGTGCAACCTCATCAACATCCTGTACAACTGCAACATAACTTCCAATTTCTATACTCAGTGCCCTGACTGATGAAGGCTAGTGTGCCAACAGCCTTCTTCACTGCCCTGTCTACCTGTGACTCCATTTTCAGAGAACTGTGCACCTGAACTTCAAGGTCCCTCTGTTCCACTACACTCCTTAAGGCCCTACCATTCACTATGAAACTCCTACCTTGATTTGACTTTCCAAAATACAACACCTCACGCTTATCTGTATTAAATTCCATTTGCCATTTCTCAGCCCACTTCCCCAGCTGATGAAGATCCTGCTGCAATTTCTGATAACCTTTCTCACTGTCCACAATACCGTCTGTTTTCGTGTCATCCACAAACTTACTAATCATGCCTTGTACATTCTCATCCAAAGCATTGATGTAGATAACAAACAGCATGGGCCCAGCACTGACCCCTGAGGCACATCACTAGTCACGGTCATCCAGTCCGACAAGCATCCTTCCACTATTATTCCCTGCTTCCGACCGTCAAGCCAATTGTGTATCCAATTTGCCAGCTCTCCCTGGATTCCATGTGATCTAACCTTCCAGAGCAGCCTACCATATGGAACCTTATCAAAGCCCTTACTGAAATCAATGTAGATTACAATTACCATCCTGCCCTCATCAACCTTCTTGGTCACTTCAACAAATTTGTTAGGCATGATCTCCCAAGCACAAAGCCATGCTGACCGCTCCTAATCAAATCCTGTCTTTACAAATACATGTATATCTTATCCTTCAGAATCTTCTGAAGTAACTTACCTACGACAGATGTTAGGCTTACTGGCCTATAATTCCCAGGTTTTTCTTTGCATCCTTCCTTGAATAAGGGCACAACTTTTGCGACGCTCCAGTCTTCCAGGATCTCACTCGTGACTAATGATGATGCAAATGTTTCAGCCAGGGTCCCCACAACTTCTCCTCTAGCCTCTTGCAGGACCAGGAGATTTATCCACCTTCGTACATTCTAATACTTCCAAAACCACCTCTACTGCAGAATGGACTGTTCCCAAGATATCGCCGCTAACTACTAAATAAAGTTCCAAGTCTTCATGTCTTTCTTCATGGGAAACAGAGGAGAAATACTCATTGAGGATCTCGCCCATGTCCTTTGTTCCTTGAAGGGTCTTATTCTCTCTCGTTATTCTTTTTCCTTTAGTATACTTTAAGAATCTCTTTGGATTGATTCTAATCTTCACAGCCAAAGCTATCACATGCCCCCTTCTCACCCTTCTGATTTCTTTTTTCAGTAAACCCCTGTATACCTCCAGTGATTCCCTTGATCCCAGCTGCCTGTACCTGTGCCATACCTCCTCCTTTTTTCTGGTCAAAGTCTCAATACCTCTTGTTATCCAGGGGCTCCCTTCTCCTGCCAACCTTTCCCTTCGCCCTCACAGGAACATATAGACCTTTAACTCTAGCTATCACACTTCTAAAGGCCTCCCACTTGCCAGAGCTCCCTTTGCCTGCAAACAAACTATTCCAATCAACCCCTGCAAGCTCCTGTCTAATTCCATCAAAATCGCCTTGCCCCACCTTAGAACTTGAACCTGTGGACCAGTTTTTGTCCTTCTCTATAACTATTTTAAAATTAACAGAACTATAATCACTGGTCCCAAAGTGCTCCCCCACTGTCCACCTCAGTCACCTGGCCTGCCCTATTTCCCAAGAGTAGGTCGGGTTTTACCTCTTCCCGAGTAGGATCCTCTATATACTGCTTGAGAAAGCTTGCCTGAACGCATTTAACAAATTCCACTTCATCTAAGCCCTTAACACTATGGTAGTCCCAGTCTGTGTTAGGAAAATTAAAATCCCCCACTATGACAATCCTATTGCTCCTGCAAATCTCCCCACCCTCCCTGCATATTTGCTCCTCTAATTCCCGTCACCATCCCTTCTTATTTCTTAGCTCCACCCACAAAGCCTCAGCTATTTTATCTGACTACAGCTGTGATAATCCCCTTAATCAAAAATGCAACTCCTCCTCCCCTCTTTCCTTTACCTCTGTCCCACCTAAAGCACCTGTACCCTGGCACATTATGCTGCCAGTCCTGTCCCTCCCTTAGCTGTGTTTCTGTAATGGCTATAATATCCCAGCCCCACGTACCTATCCAGGCTCTGAGTTCATCGGACTTACCTGTCAGCCCTCTTGTATTGAAATAGATGCATTTTAATCCAACAGGCATTCCTTACTCCCTGTCCTGTTCCAGCCTGACCTGTCTCCTCAACCTGCTATTTCTGATTACTGTATCTCTTTTCAGCCTTGCACTTGCCTCCCTGCTGTTGAGAATCCAACCCTCCTGCCATTCTAGTTTGGACTAATCTGGACCCTGGCATGCGGGAAGCACCGCGCCATCCTGGATTCCTGTTTGCGGCAACAGAAACTCCTAACTATTGAGTCTTCGATCACTAAGGTCCTGTTTACCTTTACCCTTTCCCACTGTACCCCAGAGTCAGTCGTAGTGCCACCAACCTGGCTACTGGTGCTTTTCCCCTGACCGGTCATTCCCCCCTCAACAGCATCTAAAGTGGTATACTTGTTTTTGAGAGGAATGGCCACAGGGGATTCCTGCACTCTCTGCCTATTCCCTTTGCCTTTCCTGCTGGTCACCCAGCTACTCTCCGCCTGCGCCTTAGGTGTGACCACCTCACTAAAACTCTTATCTACGATGCACTCAGTATCCCGGATGATTCTGAATGTACCCAGCTCTAGCTCCAGCTCCCTTACACGGTCTCCCAGGAGCTGCAGCTAGGTGCACTTCCCTCAGGTTTAGTCATCAGGGACGGTGCAAATCTCCGAGCTCCCACATTCTGCAGGAGGAACATGCCACTGCCCTAACTACCATCTCAAATCCTCTAGGACTAAAGAGGAAAGTTAAAAGGACTTTACATGAGCTTACCTGTACTTTTTGCTGAGCCGCTGCTCGTCGAAGCCTCTTGAGCCGACGCCTTATTTCTCACTGTGCTACCAGCAAGTTATCAATAGCACGTCTGTCTCCACCTTTTTTTTTTTGTTAGAGGAGGAGGGAGCGGGGGAAACACTACAGGTGCTAAAGTAGGTGTAGAAAGGATATTTCCTTGTGGGGCAATCTAGAAAGAGACGTCATAATTTGAGGATATGGGATAGCATTTCTTGAATATCTATTGGATAATTATTAATTGTATTTAAGTAACATGTTGAGTAATGTATAGTTAACCTTTAGAGAGGTTTTGGGCTGTGGAGGTGAGCATGTTACTGCTGGGGATCCAAGTCAGATAGATGGTAAGTAAATCTCCTTTTGCTGTGCCCTATGATGTGCCTCCGCTTTTCTTTCTGAGACACAGTTGTCGACCACGGCATTATGCAATTTTTTCAACTTCCTCACACCAACCATCCATGTAGCACAAGTGGGAATCCCTTGTGTTAAATTACCCTTAATTTTATGCACAATATCTCTTCTGATTTGCTGTAACCAGAGCTTGTTTACATGGAACATCTGAAATAGGCTCAATAACTGTCCTCAGCTATATTTAGCTCTCGACCTGGGTTAAAACTGGTAAATGTTATGTAGGATCTTGAAGCTTACCAACACAAAGAGAGTTTTATCCGTTAGTCTGATGGTTCCCAGTTCAAAGGAAAGTACAATAACTTGATATGCCAGGTAGACTTGGGACAGTAATTCATATTGTACTTTCTGCCATTTTACAAAAGATGACAAAAAAAAGACTGCAAGAGTTTTCTTTTAACTGTAAGTTAATTCTGCATCATCTCGCATTTATTGCTCTGAAGACAAGACTTTGCTTTGTAGATTTTGCACAATCCTAATTTTTCCTGGTGCAGAAAGATTCTCTGAAAACT